AGCACTGAACGAACGACAGTCATGCGAGCAAGCAGGGTTTCGAAGAGGATTCAGCACGATCGACCATCCACACGGTAACGAAGCTCATTGAAGTATCGCGAGAGTACAAGATGCCGTTATGTCTCACGTTTATCGACTTGAAGAAAGCCTTCGACTCCGTTGAGACAGAAATGCTGAGCAACCATGTTCCTACTCAGTACATCAGGATTCTTCGTGAGCTCTACAGCAACTTCACGACCAGATTTCACCATTCTACAAGGAGATCATCATCGATGTGAAGAGAGGGGTCCGACAGGGCGACGCCATCTTGCCCACTCTTCAGCGCCTTCTCTAGAAAACGTCAACCTGGTATGTGAGGACATGGCATGCCGATGGCATCGTTCTGACATCAGATCGAGATTTCCACTGGGCGTGTGTAAAAAGCCAGTTAGGAGCTGAACCTGACGGAGACGACGGTTATGAAGAACAAAGAGGTTCCTGATGTCCTATCCTTGCTCAACAAAACGAACATTTGCTCTAGCTTTGCCTGGGTAGGAGGATCAACATGATGAACGACTTCGCACCAGAGTTGAGTAGGAAGAAGGGAACGGCCTGAGAAATTTCGAGAACATTGAGGGAGAAGCGAAGAAGACGAAAAACACCGGGTTCCATGCGCACCATTTTAGATCCCACGGTCCTTTCTGCTGTCGCTCCTCAAAGATTTGCACTCCACGAAAGTTGCGGATAGCGTCCTTCAACGCACCACTGAAAGAGCGATGCTCGTAGTTTACAGCTACCCTCAAGTGAGAGAGAGAACGCGAAGCTCCACACTCAACGAGTGAAGATCTGAGATGCAGCCGAATTTGCCAAGGCTTTGAGGATCAGATGGTCCGGATAAATCGTGCATTTCGAAGATGACCACCGGATCACAGCGATTGCTAACTGAATTCCACGAGATTTCAAACGAACACCTAGATTACCACTACGCAATGGTCAGGCTTCTTCGCGAGAGCTCGAGAAGAATGGTTTTATATCAGCTGTGTCCTTTAAGCCCGAGGAACTCATCGAGCAACTCTAGCACGGCAGGGGCGAAGGGAGACGCACAAGCGCCCTCTCGAGCAACTCAATGATCAGCAGGAGCACAGGTGATGCAGATGGTCTAGCGGGGTCATTTGCATAATTTCTAGCCACAATAGGGTCTTCTTCTCTTCTCTACACTGAGTCCCTCTGCCATCTGTGCTCGCGTAATGCCTAGACTTAGGGAGATTCTTATTCAAGACGTTTTTGACGGTTTACTGGTTTACTTGGCTTTTTTCTGCCTTAATTTTCAGCTTACCACGTGATCTAAAGATGATCACGAGCCTTGAGGCGATTGCGGACGCTGTCTTTAAGTACTGTTGTTGTTTTTGTTGTCGTTGTTCGCCATTTTGAATGCATGTCCTGTATTTACTCAATGTGCAGGCGCCGTCTATCGACAGGATAGCACAGTTCCAGTTAGCAGCCAAAGCAGCAAAAAAGGCGTTGCAAACAATCTTACGTGCGCAAAGTTTGCACCAGGAAAAAGGCCTGCTCCGCGCTCAAAATCGGTAGTTCATGAAAACCTTCTCAACACCCTAAATAAGAGTTGCTGTCGATACGAGCTTATGCGAGCCTACCAGAAGAAAGGACGTGCTCGGACGAGTTCTTACCTTATTGGTTTCATGACGATATTAGCTCATTTTCCTTATCATATCACTCTCACCATTCGGAATGGAGAAGTGTTGTGGTGAATAAACAGCATCACGAGGAAGTCTTCACAAATGAACGTAGGGTGTGATATGGGGCAGCGGCGGAGAACTGCCTTCGTCGTGAGCGTAAATCGCTCTTACCCCGTATTTTTAGGCCGCCATAGGGGTACATCCTCTGTGCTCGTAGACAGGACTATCCCATGCAAGAACGGCGTCTGCACGCCAAACGCGGGATGTGACTTTAAATGGAATTGCACTATGCCGAGTGAAGTAGGTCCCCTTTCCTTTGTTTCTCTTTCCTTACCTGACCATTCAGCAGCCATCCTTTCGTGTTCCCCTGGTGAACATGTGGGTGCACCCTGCCAAGTACTTTGCTCAAAGCTTAGAGTGTTCTTTTTTATCAATTATGTTAGGACAGCGTTTCTTTGTAATGGTGACGAAGTTGGCCAACAGAGTGCGTTCATACTTCGCAATTAGGTCATTTAGCTCGTCTGGTCCGAATAAGAAACGTATACATTAATGTAGTTCAAGTTCTGAACGAATCTGTGGGTACAACTTGCACTACGGTACTTGACAGTATGCCGCGCAAAAAAATGAAACCGTGGACCCGCAGAGCAGGGGTGATCTGGAACACCTTACTGAAAGTAAAAGACTGTAACACTCACAGTCACACTCACACATTCGAGAGCCTTCCAGCTGAATGCAACTTCTTTCTACCACACCGGCCTGCAAATGAACATCTCCGCGATGCCTATAGCTTATCATTTCCGCCAGTCGGTGAGTTCATGCTGAGCGACAGATCATGGGCGAGCGGGCGACCATCACCCTGGATCATACCATATCGTGAAAGTTCTCGCTCAGGGTGTGTGATCAACGCGTTTAGATTATGTGCAATCGTGAAAACCGTCCAACGCCGAAGATGAAGAGGTGTTCCCCAACAATTCCACTCGGATGTTAAAAAGGCATAACGTCATGTATATAGGCGCTGGCGTTCTGAGATGGTGAGAATCTGCCTTTGTTATTCGCGGAACAATTCTATGAATGGAGTCGCGAAGGTTTTTCCCTCGTACTGCACTCACAGAATTCCCTCGTACTCCCATAAACAGTCACATCAGGGGCGCTCTGCAATGCAGGGTGAGTTGAGCATAGATCGTGCCAACATGAAGTCCAAGTCACGAGTTTCATAGTGTCATCGGTTGGTCTCAAGCATTTGCTACGCATGTTGTAAGAACGACCGGAAGTCGGACTCAGATTCTGATGAATGAATTTGTTTGAAAACATGTTATCTGGTCTGCCCAGAATGCGTTCATACAGCAACTTCAGAGAAATTAAGAATCGAAAAAAGAGAGTATATATACGCATCTGTTTGAAGAAAGGACGAGTAGCGAAAAGTAAAGTAACGAGGAATAGGGAGAATCGGCAGGAAGTAGAAATACACACAAAAGCGACAAAGGCTAGATAGGAGCTGCTCGTTCAGCTCGCTCCTCTTTGTTGTTTTGGGAGAAATGGCAATCTGCAGAATCTGCGTTTTCCCAAGTTCA